CTTTGGTTTTCACATATTGCGCCTTAGCTACAAAACACACACACGTACAGGAGAGAGTGAAGTTTGGGGTCCGAGTGTAGGGTCTGCCATTTCTTGGGTACTCCTCAACCAATTTTCGGGGTTAAGGGCCTTGATAAATGAGGCAACAGTGAAATAATTACTGGCTGTCCTCAGGATGCGAACCAGCGACCCTACAGTCACAAGCGTCGTGGAGTCCTATCCCAGAGAGTCTCAAACTGACACACGGGGGTACAATGAGTACCCCTGTTGGCTCACAGGTCCAGGGTCAGGGCTTTCAGTTCCGCACCATATGTTTGCTTGCGTACCCCTGACTTGTGCTCTGTGCTGTTTCTAGCCCTTAACAGAATAAGCAGATGGAAGATGGATAGATGTCTTTAAATAAACAAAATGTGAAAGGCTGCCGGCATGTTCCTGCTACAACCCACAGCTGAGCTCCAGCCCTCTGCCAATATCGAGCTCTGAAAAAGAATAAGTGCACACCCACACCATGACTACCTGAAAGCATCTGCAGGTACTGCATCCAGGAAACTTTAGAACTTTAGAATGGGACTTTCATTCTCACTTGTTGCACGGATAGACCTGTCACGCCAATCTCAAGGGAAACTTCTGGTAGCTTTCAAACACCCTGTGCTGAGCACATTTATGCCTGCAGGCAGATGTTGGTTTCCTCTGTAGACTGTCAAACAAGCAAAAAAAAAAAAGGAGGATGGCGAATGGCACAATGCCACAAAGAATAACTGATGTTTCTATCATACGACAGGAACAAGGGCTTTACAGTTTTACCATGCAAGGGATTAAACTGAACAGACCAATCACACACGTCCATTTTAAATACTATATATGCTATTCCTGTGATCTTTTTTGCATATCAAAAGATAAGCCTACATGAAGGCACCACATGTACCCATTGAATATACTAATGTACAGGTCCCCTGCGGCACATTTTTTATGAGAAACATTAATTCTATACCCCAATCAGCCATAACATTAAAACCACTGACAGGTGAAGTGAATGACATTGACTATCTCATTACAATGGTACCTGTCCAGGGTGTCATTATATACTAAGCAAGTGAACCGTCAGTTTATGGAGTTGATGTATTGCAAGCTGGAAAAAATAGGCAAGTGTAAGGATTTGAACAACAACTAGATGATGCGGTCAGAGCATCTCCGACGTGGTTCAAGGAAGGCCGGCTAGTGAACCGGCGACGGGGTCATGGGTGCCCCAGGCTCACTGACAGACGTGAAAAAGTTAATGTTGACTATGATCGTAAGGTGTCAGAACACACAGTGCTTATTGCGTATGGGGCTGCGCAGCTGCAGACAGGTCAGAGTGCCCCTGCTGACCCCCGTCCACCACCAAAAGTGTCTACAATGAGTACGCGAGTGTCAGAACTGGACCATGGAGCAATGGGAGAAGAGTGTCCTGGTCTGATGAGTCACGGATTGTGTTAGATTATGTGAATAGCCAGGTGCATGATTGTTGCTTACCTGGAGGAGATGGAACCAAGATGCACTATGGGAAGAAGCCAAGCTAGCAGAGGCAGTGTGATGCTCTGGGCGATGTTCCACTGGAAAACTTTGGGTTCTGGCATTAATGTGGATGCCTTGATATGTACCATCTACCTACAATTTTTTGCAGATCAAATACAGCCTTTCATAGTAGCGATATTTCCTGATGGCCGCAGTCCCTTTCAGCAGGATAATGCTTCATGCCACACTGCAGCAATTGTTCAGGAACGGTTTGAGGAACAAGAAAAAAAAGAGATTAAGGTGTTGACTTGGCCTCCAAATTCCCCAGATCTCAATCCCATTGAGTATGTGTAGGATGTGCTGGGCAAACAAGTCCGATCCACGGAGGCCCCACCTCACAACTTACAGGACTTAAAGGATCTGCTGTTAACATCTTGGTGCCAGATACCACAGGACACCTTCAGAGGTGTTGTGGAGTCCATGCTCCGACGGGCCAGAGCTGTTTAGGTAGCACACAGGCACCTACATAATATTAGGCAGGTGGTTGTAATGTTATGGCTGATCGGTGTGTATCACAGATTTATACCATAAGCCTCCAGGGGAAAATCATTTAAAATGTAAGTTGCCTCTTAATTGATAATGCCTACAAAGCAGCTTGGATATGCCTAGTGCATCATTAACAGCAAATGGAGGGAAATTAATGTCCATAAATATTTAAAATAGCATCTAAAACACCTAGGATACGTAATAGTCTTCTCTTACGGACCATCTTAGATTTACTGTGGTGCAGCTCCCTCTACTGGACATTTCTAAAAACTGAAAATTCTGGTTCATTGAGGATTAGATTCGTGTTTCTCAAACCAGCCCTCGGGGACCCGCAGACGGTCCACGTTTTTGTTCCCTCCCAACTCCCAGAGAATTATATTACACAATAGTGTATCTAAATACAGTTGCGGTCAAATGTTTACATACACTTATCACAAACATGCTTGCATTGGCAGTTTTGGGCTTCCAATGATTTCTACAACTGTTCTTTTTCTGTGGTAGAATGATTATACAACAGACAACTTCATTAAAACAAAATCACAAATTAGATAGATAGATAACTTTAATAATCCCAGACATACATTAAAAAGAGAACTACTGCCTATTCTAAAAGTGCTGTATAAGTAGTATTCTAAAAAAAAAAGTAAAATTAATAAATAAATATAAACATTATTATGACCATACACTAAGTGAGATGACTGACCCACCATGCACGGTATTAGGAATAAGTTAGGTAAGGATGAAATTCTATTATGACCATGCACTGAGATGACTGACGCAAAAGATAAATAGGCAATAAATGAGTAGCTAAATTAGTCCAGATTTTGCCTCTATGCATTTACATTTCCACCCCCCCCCCCTCCCTCCCAGTATGGAGTTATAAAGAGTAATAGCACGGGGGATGAAGGATTTTTTGATGCTCAAGTTTAAATTTACTGTGAATTTTCTGAAACCAACAAAGGGTCAAAATTGTACATACAGAGTCAAAGATATACACATAGACAACTGTTCAAAATTTTGGGGTCACTTAGAAATTTCCTCATATATCAAATGTGTTTCAATAGGAAATATAGGTAAATAAACAGGAAATAGTTATTGACAAAGTTAGAAATAATCATTTTTGAAATCAAAATAATAATTGTGTTCTTCAAACTTTGCTTTCGTTAAAGAGTCCTCCATTTGCAGCAATTACTGCCTTGTAGATCTTGGGCATTCTAGATGTCAGTTTGTTGAGGTAATCTGATGAGATTTCACCCCGTGCTTCCTGAAGCATCTCCCACAAGTTGGATTGGCTTGATGGCCACCATTCGGTCAAGCTGCTCCCATAACAGCTCAACAGAGCTGAGATTCGGTGACTGTAACTGCCTCTCCATTACACCCATCCATCCATTTTCCAACCCGCTTATCCTTCTGGGTCACGGGGTAGTGGTCTGGAGCCTATCCCAGAAGCTACAAGCACGGGGTGGGGAACAACCCAGGATGGGGGGCCAGCCCATCACAGGGCATCTCCATTATACTTCCTGGCAATTTCTTGTATGGAATAGCCTTCATTTTTCAGAACAAGAACAGGCTGGCAAGATTCATAAGAATGTTCTTTGTCTCTGACCATTTTGAGCTTGTAATCGAACCCACAATCGCTGATGCTCCAGATAATCAACTAGTCCAAAGAAGGCCAGTTTTATTGCTTCTTTAGATAAAGTGGTGTAAAGCACTGGGTTTGGCGGATGCCAGGAGAAAGTTACTTACATTGTGCCAGCTGTAACGTTTGGAGAGGGGATAATTGTATGGGGTCATTTTTCAGGTGTTAGGCTCAGTTCAAGTGGAGGGAACTCTTAATGTGTCAGTATACCAAGACATTACAGACAATTCTATGCTTCCAGCTTTGTGAGAACAGTTTGGGAAAGGCCCTTTTCTGTTCCAGCATGAGTGTACCCCAGTGCACAAAGCAAGGTCCATAAAGACATAGTTGGGAGACTTTGGTATGGAAGAACTTAACTGGCCTGCACAGATCCCAACCCCATGAAACATCTTTGGGATTAATAAAAAATGATGGTTTTGTAAGCCAGACCTTCACGTATAACATCAGTGCCTGACCTCATAAATGCTGATGAATTGGCGAAAATTCCCACAGACACACTCCAAAATTTTGTGGAACGCCTTCCCAGAAGAGTGGCAACTGTTATAGCTGAAAAGGGGAGACAAATTCCATATTGATGTCTATGGATTTAGAATGGGATGTCATGAGTTCCTGTGGGTGTAATGGCCAGATGCTCCAATACTTTTGTCCATATAGTGTATACACTCATATACGCATACATAAACATGCACACACAGAGAAATGTTTAAAAATCTTGAATCTTTTACATTTCTTGAGAGTTCAACTCATCATACAAGTTATGAAGTTTTTGTGCATTCTGCGGTTAATGTTCATCACCGTGTCCTATTTAAACTCTTTAAAATGAAATCGCGCGAGTGATTACTGCATTAGAAACATAAGGATTCCTCCTGAAGACTTCCCTGACATAATATGCTTGTTCAGTCGTAGCGTCCATTGTAACGGACATTTAAAAAATATCTAATAAATAAATTAGTTAACAAAAAAAAATCAGACTAATTTCTACACTTGAGAGGAACAAATGTCAGTTCGGTAATATTTTTGCTCAGTAGAAAAAAGACAGGTCAGAAGGGAACAATTGAAAGAGGCGCACAGAGAAATATCCACCCGGGAGCGAATTTTCGTTTTTCAGGGTGGGTCTGGGGAGGTTCATTAATATTCATGAGGGAAGCGTTACCTGATTGGCTAATGAATGCCTGACGGAATAAACTGACCAATCTTAATATTAATGAGTTTCCGGAGCCACTCTAAAAAAATAGGTAGGGCAAGTCAATTCACGTTCCATGGCCAATCAGGTAACTCCTCTAATAAATATGAATAAGTTTTTCCGAACCACCCTGTAAAACGGAAGTTCGCCACACAGGATTGAAGCGCCTTGTGTTAGCTTGCTGACGAGCGACGGGATTTTTAAAAAAATGTATTTATTAGACAGTTATGAATAAATTTCATACTCCTATCGCTAAACTAGGATGTGCCTCACTTTTATGTTGGGACATTCTTGTGACGTGACTCAATCCTGCTTAAAGACGGCAAGGTAAAGCGACGGAGAATCCATCATAAAATTGAGCGGCTTGTTTTCGTTCCCTGGGAGGAATTACGGTTTGGGATCACGATGGGGTTCTCTTCGGTTTTGAGTTTCACTTTAACTACTGTCCAGCCGGATGGACGGTGGCGCCTGTTAGCCCCAGAGATTAAGTTGGTCGCGGTGTGAGCGAAGGAGCGGTCGCGTGCTAAAAAAGATATGGAGGACATCATTTTGATCAGCTCCGGGGAAGATTCGGACGTCGAAAGCAAGAACGGTTCGGTAATACAAAATGAACAGTCAAGATATTCAACTGTAAGTGTTTAAAATTTGTTTTGTTTTAATAGAACTGGGAGTTCACTGTAATGCCGCACAATTTTTGAGACGCGGTGACACAACCAAATTGCGACGGGCGAACCACGTGACACGCCGCTTCAGTTAGCCTGTCGCCACCTGAGTGACATAGCCGGTTAAATTAAGCACCTCCGAGCTTCCGCAAGTAACAGACCCGGTTAAATCGTAGAACAAAGCCCTCCACCATGAATGGTTACTGACGAAATTGTAAGTTAATTCATTTATGGAAGCTTGGTGGATAGTTGAATAGTTAGCGGACGGTGACGTAGAAATATGTATGTGGAGGGGAATATATCTAATGCAAAAGATGCCACTATCATCGGTGTAATATGTAAGACTGGTGTTACTTGTTGATAAATATTGTAAGAGTAATGCCTTCCGCCTCACCTATATTTTGTCTCATTTATCAGAATTTCGTATAAAACAGCTTGTATTTTACGCAAGTGGATGTAAACCGTACTGTTAATGTAATTCCATTATTTAAAACATTATCGTAAAAACTAGCGTTTTTTTGGGCAGTCGCGAAGGTAGTTAAAGCAGCATTCTGTGATGGACATGCTGTTTTAACCCAGGAAGTGGCGTGTGTTTGAACGATGTGGAGATTCAACCCCTGCTGCTCCTGTAAAACATCCATTTGTTAACTGGACAAATCCAGAATAAAGGCGCCATATAAGTAACGACACTTAGACTAGTGTGATCCTGCTCATGTTTTCCTCCATGCCTTAACGGACAGAAATACTGCATCTTTAATGTTAAATCGTTCAAAATGGACGATTTTTAAAATTGTGTGCATTGTATACATGGCAAACACGGAAAGGACTAAAGTGTTTTAAGTTAGATGAGAAAATGTAGCCCATTTGGTTTAAATGGTGCCATAGAATTCATTTTCAGTATTGTTTTCTGGTGTCTGCATAGTCATAGTCATGTGAACTTGGTTTGGTACAAAAATGCCTAGAAGCTGTTTTACAGGCCCATTTACAGCCCTGTTATTGTAACCGTTTTCTCTTTTTGGTGGGCTCATTAATATGTTGATAAACTCTTCTCTGATTGGCTGGTTTACAGTGAAGCACTGCCATGGCTCACACAGAACCAGCATGTCTACAGTCGTGCGCCACATAATGACAATAAGTGATGCATGGCATGTATGAACGGTGTCCCATAAGGTTATAATGGAGCCGAAAAATTGCTGAAGACTAGTGATGTCGTAGCACAACCGTCATTCACGTGTTTATGGTGATGCTGATGTAAATAAACCCACCGCATTGCCAGTCGTGTAAAAGTATAGCACAAACAATTATACACAGTACATATTTAAAAATGATAAACCACTACTTTACTGGTTTGTGTAGTTACTGTACTACACTTTTTATTGTCGTTTTAGAGTATACTAAAGTTTAATGTAACCTGTAGGAAGTAAGCTTAGGCTGTACATAAACGTAAAAGGAGAACTTGATGCAGTTTATTAAAAATAAGTTTTTTTGCTAAATAGTCTAACCATGCATTTTTCCTTATTATCCTCATAATTTTAATAATGAATCTTAGGTGTTTAGCGTTCCTTTGTGACCCATAGCATGAACTGCTGTAGTGCTTTGGGTGTTGAATTCTGGATTTCTTTCTGTAGTTTGAATTCTGTTACCTTTCCATTTGCCCCAGCTGCTGATTGACCTCACAGACTCCAGATGGGCACCTTCACAGAAGCGATGCAGAAACCGGTGTCGGAAACCCCCCACGTGCTTTGTCCCGGACCTGCGTGAGTGCAAACCGCTTAGGTTCATGATGGATCCCTGTCCAGCGAAAGCGACTTTGGAAGGAAAGGAAAAGACTCCTAAATACCTGATGAGCCTGACCGAGGGCTCTGGTCTGAACTATCCTTGTCGGTCTCCAACTGTAGCGCTCTCCGCAGGGAACCTGTCAACACCGGACCACTTCAACAAGATAACGGAATTGTGTCACAACTTTCCCAGTGAAGCACGGGGTGACGGGAAAACTATAAATCAGATCAGTGATGTCTCATGGAAATGTCTGGAGAAGTCGCCTTATTATCCAGCATCTCCAAGCACCATCAGCCAGTGGAGTTCTAGAAGCCCCTCTCCCATTAGCCTCTCAGAAGCAGAAACTGCCGCTAGGCCTTTAACCTCTGGAGGGCACTCGTCTCGCTTTCCCACTGATCCCTCAGCCCCCCTCTCACCATCCCGTTGGCACTCCAGTGTCCGCATACGGGACACATATACAGAGACCATGGTGGAAGCCAGTGATAGTCAGGTCCCTCAGATGCACGAACTAAAGCAGGAAGACTCGTTGGAAAGTGGCTTTCCGGACTACACGAGTGTCCCCTCCCCCATTGGCTCCTATAGCCCATATTACTGCCCTAGCGTGATTGACCCGGTCGAATTCTCTGACATTTCCAGCCTGTATGATGAGCAGCCAGATGAAGTCCGCTCACCATCTCCAGGTTTAAATCATCCTCACGCAGAAGGCTTGAGCCACACGCAATTGCCGCTAAGCGGTACTTATGAAATCGGGGCTTCAGGGGACGGCCAACTGAGCAGCCTGGGCCCATCACTGGAGCCTTGCCCTGTGTCCCCAGGGACGGTCCCCCCCAAGAGCAGCCAGGCCATTGGTTGTTTATCCCCAGCCTTGGCTGATGCGCCAGATGACTTCGGACACACCTCCACTGATGTCATGGCTCGTGGGTCCTCTGATTGGTTAGCTGATGGTGTAGAGCTCCCTGTAGAAAGCTCATTCAGCTCACTGAGTCTCCCCAGAACTCCTAGCTTTTTCCCAGATCCGGGTGAGGACTGGTCACCCCATTGCATTGACAGCTGCACACGCAGCTGCATGCAGGATGAGTGCAAGGTGGAAATGGAAGCAAAGACTGAGTGTGAACCAGGTATAGACTGTCATTATGTGTCCCCAGCCCGTCTCAAGAGGCTGCGAAACCCATTGTGGAGGTCATTCCAGATCCAGGTAAGGGGAATTTCTGACCTCATCTGACCCTGAAACCCTCTGGCACTCTGGACCTGTTCACCTTGCTTCCTGCTGTTACTATAGGATGATGACCTTCAGCTGTCTGCCCTGTTCAAGGCTAACAAAGATGACAAAGGTGACGAGAAGAAGGGAGAGGAAGTAGGGTGCGGGGAAGCACTGTGTCGGCGGGGCCTGAACCTGGTGAACACCACCATCGAGGAAAACTTCCCTGAGGGGACTCTCCAGCTGCTTGCAGACTTCCTGCACCCCCGTGTTTGGCCCCCTCCACAAATAACAAAACACCTTTTGCGGGGAATACTGCTCAACTGCCAGTGTCCCATCGCTCTCGTCTCTGAGGCCTACACCCTTCTCATGAGGACACAAAAGTGAGTTGCCACCAGCAGGCAACACCCATAACCCCTAAATCTGACCATGCACCATATTTTCTTTGAAGTATGATTTTAACTAAACCTTTAAGTGACTTGTTTACGTACGCAACAAGACTAGTATTAAACTATGTGATTTTCACTGTTTGGAAAATGCCTTCATGTTTCACGTGTATCACCAGCGTCCATGAAAATAGTGAACATATGCTGATCGTTCTGGGGAATGGCTTCTCCGTTGCCTAGTTACTTGCGGCACAGAGAACTTGTATTCATTTTCAGGCCATAATATGGAGATGTGTATTTGTTAAGCCGAGTAAAGTCATCACAGAGTAGTGGATTTGGAGCCGGGGTGAACCAGATTAAGACTCACCGAATTCCTTTGCTGTCTAGGTACCACCCAGCTGATTGCTCATCTGTGCCGTGGGACTGGGAGCTGCTCTGCTCTGTCATGAATGAGCAGGTGAGAGGGCGACTCTAATATCAGCTGGTAGTGTGTTAAAGGTTAACAGCAAGTTAAATGGCAGCACGTAAAAGTAAACGTGGAAAACGGATTTTGTTTCGGAAAGAAGAACAGACCCAGATAAACGTTCCCTCGCAATTGATTGATTTGGTCAGAGAAATAGCCAATCAGATTGTTGAGGAGGTGGGTCCAAGCAACTAGAGGAAGCGGGACCACCTTCTCTATAATCTGATTGGCTATCTCTCTGGACCAGTCATGTTTCATTCTGCCCTCAACATTTTTGTGTAAGTAAAACTTGCATGAGCTCTCAATTGCCACTCTCTCCCATTCTCACACTTACAGATCTCTTATAGAGAATATTCCAGGCAAAACCAATAATGGTAGAGCGAGTGAAGCATGAGAAATGCCTGCAAAATTCAACTATTGGTGGTTTTTAGTGAACACTTACGTGTTCTGTGAGAGATCAGCGACTGTGTGTTTGTTACAGAAGCCTGGTTGGTACAAGGATCCGTCCAAAAGGCACCAAAGTTCCGTCGTGCGCATGCTTTTGCAGTACGTTCTGCAGACGCTGGAGGACGACTTCCACCTCCAGTTGTCCCAGCACAGCCTGTTCTCCTCCATTGCCAGTGCGATGCTTTCCTGCGACAGGAGGTTCTCCTTCGTCAGGTGAGTTTGGGTGCAATCTTTCCATGTAAAATATGTATTGGTTTTTTAACCCGTAACAAAGGTGGAGATTTCAGGTCCAGAGAGTACAAATCCAACCGGCTGAGTATAAAGAGTCACAGTCAGAGTACTTAACTGCTTGGTTGAAACAAAATCTTGGTCTGGATTTGTACTCTCTGGACCTGAAATCTCCACCTCTGCTCAAAACTCAGAAACATAGTAGACTGGTCCCTAAACTAATAAATGAATGTTGAATAGCAAATTTTAAGGTGTGATGACTTTCTATGCTGTTTTTAATGGCTGGAAACTGAATTTCACAGTTAGGTTAATAACGTTTACAGTTATTTATTTAATTGAACTTTTTTGTCCAAAGTAACATACCGAGTTTGGGATCAGAAAGCAGTGTTGGCAAACATCTAGCGCCCCAGGAGCAGTTAAAGGGGCAGTTCACCCCAGAACTGAAAAAAAGATATGTTTTAGGAGGGACTTCTATCTGTCCGTCTGCTTAGTTTATCAGCTGTAGAAATTTCAGGCCTCTCTCGAATATAATGGGAGTGAATGTCATTCTTTCTATGGTGATTTAAAGCTCAGTATAGTACAGTAGAGAAATTCAGCAGCAACGTCTCTTACCAGAAATCATGACTTGGTTGCTCATGATAATCCACAGACTGAACTCCGCACACCAATCGTATCACTATGCAAATAATATCACCAGGGATGCTCGAATCTTTTACGCAGTGATACGATTGCACTGAAGCCTTTCTAAAACGTAATTATTTTAAGTTTTAGGGTGAACTGCGCCTTTAAGGGTTAAGGCCTTTGCCCAAGGTGATATTATGTCATTATGTCATTATGTCATTGTTCTACAGGGATGTGATTGGTTGGCTGGTCTACGCAGTGAAGAATTCTACAGGTGACCCACAGAGGAAGGCCAGTGACACTGAGGAGGAGATGCTGAAGGAACAGGATGAAAACCTCAAGTATGAATCCTCACATCTTTCCTCTGCTTTTCTTTTAAGCAGCCTCATCATATAAGCAGTTTGCTCTTACGTTCCTCTGTCATATTTGAACTAGATTAACTGCATTACATCTAAAATAAATTTAATTGTCGTATGTTTACTAGTCCTGCAAAAAATAAATAGCTAGTCTGCTGCTGTTTTCAGCCAAACAGTAGGAACTGTACATGGAGAAGTTCAGTGACTGCAGTTGCAGGGCCCTTTTTGAGGCTTGTGCTAGCTGCCAGGTTAGCAGTGCATATCCCTAACCGGCCCACCCCCTACACCCCCTAGTTAACTCCCATCCAAATGCCCAGCTCTCCTCTCCCAGACCCGCCCCCTCTCCCTCACCGAGTTTGCCACCTCTCTGCAGGGTAGTGTTCCTCCTGCAGAGGATGCTGAATTTGGCCTTGGAGGTGGACCGCTCCCCCACCTGCAGCTCCAACAAGATCTCTCAGGAGCTCTTCCAGACACTGATCAGCATCGTCCCTCTCCGGCAACACAGGTAAACTGACTGCTTTTTGGATTGGATCCGTCAGCAAGCAGCATCGGTCTTCCACACGCATTCCAGTCTTTTCTATTCCCATTTCCCTTTATCCTGCCTTCCATCGCTCCTTTATCCTCTCTTCTATAATTGCTTATCCTATACAGGTTTGCAGAGTCTTCAGCCTGTCCCACACAGCACAGGGGACACCCTAGACGGGATACCAGTCCAACACAGGGCACACATTCACACTTACTATGGACAATTTAGATACAGCAATCCACTTAAAGTGTGTCCTTAGACCACTGGGGGAAAAACAAGGGACCTGGAGGAAACCCTCCCAGATAGAACATGCAAACTCCACACACACTCCAGGAAATGTCTGGGTATTGCATATTCCTTGCAATATGCAGGACACAAACATTACATTTTCCCTCAACTATTTATTTTCATAATATTTTACTAGACACATTATTTATACTAATTGTAGTAATAGGAAATTAATTAGTCAAAAATAGAATCATGATCAACCTTATAAAACCATAAAATATATGTATAATCAAGGAAGTTACACAGGGTAGACAAAATTCCAAAGACAATCCTTGGGGAAAAAAAACATTGAAGTAACTAAATCAGTCACAATGACAGTGGATTTCTCTATAAATATACCCACTGATGCTAGAGGACAACACAGCCCACCGAGCCACTCTGTCCAATGCTGAGTCTCATTTAAAGATGATGCTTCAGATAGCTGTCCCTTGTGCTCCTGTCCTCTCAGGTTGCTCCTGCTGGAGACCCTGGACAGCAGCCTGCTGAGGTGTAAGGTGCTGGAACTGCTGCTGCATAACTCCTGTCTGCACAAGAGCAACACACCTATGTCTCTAAAGCTCTTGCTGCACTTCTTCCAGAACGCCATGCCAACCACTGACCCCATGGTAAGTGCCCCGCGCCGGCGAATCCTTTCCCCCAGGGGTCTTTGCTTACTGGTATCCCGAGGCACGGTCCAGAGGTTCGGTTCACTTGCAGCTCACATTTCCTGCTTTTTTCTTTCTCCATCTTCCAGGACGGGGCTATGAAATGCTCGAGCTGGAACGAGCTTGTCCAGCTGCTGTGGATGCTGTTGCTTAGCTACGAGGAGGTGAAGGAGGGTAAGAATGGGTAACAAGGGAGAGTTCGGAAAGAGCTTTCATTAGGAAGACGCGAACATGAATAGATACAAGCACACAAGCTCAGTTATAGCAAAAATGTTGCATGTCAATTTCTGTGAAATTCACAGGTTACATGATGGTGTGTCTGGCTGGCTGTCGTAGGTCAGATGTTCTTGATGGTGGATGACCAGTCAGTGTGTCCACATTACTGCCTCTGTTTTTGGTTTGGTTGCCATGACAAAGCTGCCGTCTCAAATGTCAATTCACCATCATGTCTCTGCCGCAGGTCACCTACGAGTGTCCATAACCGAGCGAGCAAGATACACACGACCCCCGATCCAGACTGTGAACGATCAGATCACACGGGCCGCGGTGCAGGAGGCGGCCAATGGTTTCCACTTTCAGCTGTCAGCTGACCTGGGCGCCTCCGTTCCCCCACAGCTGGAAAATCTATTTTCCTCTCTGTTAGGTTACCTGCTGGATGCATGTCAGTAAAGATATATTTACCTGAAAAAAATAGCATAAAGAAATCATTTTATTGCAGGGAGAACTGTGGATTTCCTATAGCAGAGATTACTCAATTTTATTTTATTTTTTCCCAAGTAAAATTACCAATGTGCCTGTATCTTGTTAACATAACGAACTCAGTTTTTCTGCTACATTGTTGCTTTGTAGGTGGATGGGGAAAAGAGCAGATGGTGAAGCAAATGGGGGCAGAAGCATGGTATAGAGCAGGGGTGTCAGACTCCTGTCCTTGGGGGCCGGAGCCCTGCTCATTTTCGGTTTTCCCCTCATTTAACACACCTGATTCAACTCCTTGTGCTAATTACCGCACAGCTCTTGAGCTGAATCATTTGGGGTGGAACAGGGAAAGAACTAAGCTACACAGGGCTCCGGCCCCCCAGGACTGGAGTTTGACACCCCTGGTGTAGAGAGAGAGAATTTTTTTTAATGTCTTTATTAAGACAATGAATAATTCATGTATTTGTTTTTCTACTAACTTATTCAAAGAATCAGCCCCTTACACCTTTCATACACCTCAGTCAGTTTACGGTGGGACACTTTTCTGATGGGCAATATGCCGCACAGCATGATGGGAAGGGGCGGTGTTCATGCTTACCCAATCCCATTGCCCCATGCACTATAATATTGTTTTCATTTCGCCTTCCATGACTTATTTTCACTAAAATGAAAGTGAAAATAGAGTGATACAGTGGCAGTGCCCTTCTGTTCGTATTCATTGAGTAATTCCTCTTGGGAGAGAGATGAGTAAATTGTATCAATTGTGAATGTGACATTTCAAAAGCCTCAATTTGAGGTTGATTTCTCTAAATTAAAAAAAAAAATGTAAAAATACCCTTGTAAATACCTGTTAATGTTTTTTGTTTCATTTTACCCTCTGTTTTGTACATCTGCAGTTTGAGTATTTGCACATAGGAAGACACTTTCGGTTAAATAAAAGACCTTGCTGATTTTATAAATCATTAGACATAGGCGTTGTCTGTAAATGGTTTTTGTGGATTTCCTTCCTCCCCACAGCACTGGTTGTGTGGCTGTGTAAACACCTCCAAATTAGCCAATCCCCTGCTTAGGATGCACTCTGCCCATTACTGCACTGCGGAAAGGCACATAATTACAGTACCTCACAGCGGAAGTGTTTTAGCTAAAGAAAAAACAACAGGTTGTATTCCCATGGAGGTGTTACATTTGTTTTAGACATCCTATACTCTTAATGAGAAATGTGTAGTTTGTACTAATATATGTTGTTAGTAGTTTAATATTTAAAGTTTTTTTTTTTTTAAATCTAGGAGCATTCTCCCATTCTTGTTAAATTAAGGAGTTACGCTTCCAGTCACGTTGTTTACGCTCCACTTCCAGCCCAGAATTTTCTCTTCAGTTGGCTGAGGTTCCTCAGATCTTCAGATGGGTTACTCTGCATAGCCATTAGGGGTAGATGGCAAATTGTTTCTCTGACAGGGAAACTTCTGGTCCACGCTAAAATTGGACATTAAGTGTCAGAAACAGGAATCATCCACAGAGATAGCTAAGAACACACTCGGAGGACCATTGTTGCCTAGGCTAACATTTCAAACCACTGATTCCCAGGTGCAGACAGCTTTTTGAAATTCCTCAACACATAAACCCCTCCCCCCACCCCTGACAGCTTCATAGCTTGTTCTGGCCAGGCCATAATTCAGTACCTTACACGTGTATGTATAGTACAAATATATGTACATATAAAATTTTAGGGTTTTCAGAGCAATGAACATAGTCCAAGTACAGTTTCAATAATGGTCAACACTTAAATGGTCTTGTATGGGCAGTACAATGGCTTAGCACTTAGTATTGCAGATGTGTGGCTCAGCAGGCTAAGCCTTTGTGTCTGTTATCAGAAGGTTATATTCAGGTGAATAGTCATATAATATGTGTGTGTGTCTCATTCAGAGCAAGATGAGGCAGGCAAAATAGGTTTTCCTCACAAGGATCAATATATCATACCTCCATAGCATAGTCACTAGTTCTATGTATGTGAAGTTTGCATGTTTGTCCCCCAGACCAAAAACACACCATCAGAAGAATTACCATGATTGTATGCGCATGCTCTGTGATGAACTAGTAAGCAACCCAAAGACTCACTATGTCCCCTTGTACTTGATAAGCAGGCATGGCAGAGTGATGAATGAAGAAATTGTATTGTGCATTTAAGAAATATTACAGTAATAAAGTTACCAAAGGATTAGCTTCCTTTCACTACATAATACTGATTCATTCTCTTGTCAAATTGACTTTGATAACTATTAGACTATTTGTGTTTACATTGTGTAGGTTTATATTATATAATATATAATGTTCATGTGTCACAAGGAATGTTGAGAGGGAGGAGTTTGAGCTAAAAGAGATTATAGCTATGTCAGTTATGTTTGGAAGAGGAGGCAAAGAGAGCTAAACTCCCCTATAGCTTGATATTCTTGCAAATTTTAACTGGTTCTTGAGGAGAATACCACTCTGGGCAAGCCCTATATTCCTGTCGTCTCCCCCAAACTCTCCTTCCATGACAGGTCTCCTTCCTCCTAATGGATGCCATGACCGCTGGGTGTGTGTCCCTTCATTCCATTAAGACACAGATACATTCAGCTTTGGTTTGATTTTTTTCCAGAGTAAAGTTGCTCCTGCTCTCTTTTAAAAGTGGAGTGTTGAAGTAACCATGCTTTGCTTTTAGGTGAAACTAAAGTGGGCATCAAGGACTGAAACTTGGTAACACTGAAACTTCATATTCTTCAATATTCATTGAGCAAATGTGATTCTGTCTCTGATGATGGCACTGAAATAACTACAACCTCATATATTGTATATAAGACCTCATGCTAGTCTGAATCACATCACATGACATTAGAGTGCCACCTAAAGACCATTGACTGTGTGCTGCCCATCCATCTGTTATAGAGAAGAGGTTCCTGTATCTAACAAGGGGTGATGTGTGGCTCTGCAGCTCCCTGGGTCATGTTTTGAAGGTTCAAATCCCATGGAATGATTTTAATGTTGGGCTCTTGGGTAAGGCCCTTAATCCCAGTCTCTATAGCGACTGACTTTCTCAGTTATACATCACTTTGAATAGAAGTGTCCGATAAAAAAAAAGTAACAAAATTTTCATCATTTTATTTGTGTAGTTGATTATTACAGACATTAGAATGGTATGTGCGTGATCCCTATATAGTCACACACCCATGCCCACAAGGTGACACTCTTCTGGTCATGGGTGACTTCAATATGACCACTGGCACTGACAGGGCTGGCTATGGGGATTGTGTCGGTCTCCATGGGTCTGGAGACCGTGGTGAAAGTGGCTCCATGTTCCTTGACTTTGCCAAAGGTCAGGGGCTGCAGGTCGCTGGATCCTGGTTCCAACACCCTGAGCCGCATCATTGGACTTGGTACTGCAATACTGTTGGTGCAGTGAAGGAGATCGATCTCATGCTCATGGGCAGATGCTGGAGGTCTACAGAAGTGCCCAGTTTGTGAATTCTGACCACAGACTTGTTGTTGCTACTCTAAAGATTCAGCTTAGATCCAGTATGCTACCACCTATTAGGAGAATGAGGCTAGACTTGGCCAGATTCCAAGATCAAGCTGATTCTGATGGGTTTGCATGCAGTTTCTGTGAGGAACTTGCAGATTTGGGTGCAACTACTGACTCTAATGTGATGTGAGAGACCTTCCGTGATAAAACCCTGAAGGTTGCTGAGGGATGTGTTTTTGCTGTCAATGTTGCCAGACCAGAAGGAGGTGTTTCACCTCGCAGGGCACCCTAAATATTATCGAGAGTGAGTCACAGCGCACAGCTTGGTGGCAACTCCAGGCTATACCGGGAACTAAGGAGGATGGCTGTGAGGGCTCTGAGGACAGATAAAGAGGTGTTTGTTAGACGAATCTGTGAGCAGGTGACACACCATCTGTGGTCCAATGACCCACGTCCTGCTTACAGAGGAATCGAAGCATTACGCACATTTGAATCTGTTCCTCAGAGACTTGCAATCAGGCGGGTGATGGAACCTTATGGATGACACTGCAGTTGTGACCCATGGGCCGGCTACTTTGAGCAGCTGTTTAAAGCTGATCCTCTGGCTCTGACCTTGGACATCTCTGGGTCCACAATTCTCAAGGCTGATCTTCCAATCAGCTCTGAACCACCCAGTCTCACTGAAATTGCATGGGTGGTGAATCAGCTGGGGGTAGGGAAGGCCACAGGGATCTGTGGTATCCTGGGGTGAACTTCTCTAGGCTAGTGGTAAGGCTGTCTTCCTGGCATTGTGGGCAATCTTTGCTTCCATTTAAGAATCAAGCATCATCCCAACTGACCGGAAAACAGGACTTGTAGTCCCTATCTGGAAAAGGAAGGGTGATCTGCGGGAACTACAGGGGGATAACACTGCTCTCAGTGCCGGGGAAGGTCCTTGCTAGGGTCATGCTTAACAGGATCCGTGATCACTTGCTTGTCTGTCAGCGACTGGAGCAGTCTGGTTTTATGCCTAGGAAGTCTACCATTGACCGCATCCTGGCATCAGTGTAAGCGCGAATATCGGCAGAGGTTCTTTGCAACCTTTGTCGATTTTTGTAAAGCGTTTGGCTCAGTTGACTAAGTTGCCCTGTGGGAGAATCCTGAGACTTTGCGGGATCCTTCTGAAGTTGCTGGACGTCATGGCTGGCTTGTATACTGGTACTGTGAGTGCTGTGCAGAGTGGAGGGAGAACTTCCCTGTTCTGCCCAGTTGATTGCAGGGTTTGCCAGGGGTATGTTCTTGCTCCTACTCTGTTCAATGCTTGTATGGACTGAGTGTTGGGCAGGGTCATGGGGTCCAGCAGTTGTGGAGCATCTGTTGGTGAAAAATTCACTGATCTTGACTTTGCCAATGATGCTGTGATCTTCTCAAAGTCAATGGAGGCTTTGATCGGGGCTCTTGAGAAACTGAGCAAGGAGTCTGAGTATTTGGGATTGTGAATGTCCTAGATAAAGACCAAGATCCAGGCCTTTAATGACTTCTTAAGCACAGCCACAGCACTGTCTGTTTGCAGCGAGAATGTCAACCTTGTCGAGAGATTTACTTACCTCGGCAGTGACATTCATGTATCTGGTGACTCTTCCTATGATGTCAGCAGATGGATTGGAACATGGGGGGTCATGAGGTCACTGGAAAGGGGTGTGTGGCATTCCTGATATCTTTGCAAGAGGATGAAGGTCCAAGTCTTTAGAGTCCTGTCTTGCTGTATGTCTGTGAGACATGGACGCTATCCAGTGAACTGAGACGAAGACTGCACTCTTTCGGTACTGTGTCTTTGGAGAATACTTGGGTACCACTGGTTTGACTTTGTGTCGAATGAGCGGTTGCTAGAGGAGTCCTGAATGAGGCACATTACCCGCATTGTGAGGGAGCATCAGTTACGGCGCTATAGCAATGTGGTGCGTTTCCCTGATGGTGACCCAGTTTGCAGGATCCTCGTTGCTGAGGACCCAAGCGGCTGGACCAGGCTGAGGGGATGCCCGTGTAACACCTCGCTGTAGCAGATGGACGACCATTTCTGGAGGATGGGACTGGACCGTGTGTCTGCCTGGGGGGTCGCCAGCCGGGATCCCAAGGAATTTTGCCATGTCGTGAGTGTGGCAACATGCTGCATCAATGCATGCACCCCAACCTGACCTGACCTGTTTATTCTTTATAAACACCTATTGTTTAATATTACTTGTTCTGTATTTTGTATTTATGTCTTTATTCCCCTCTACTTCATCCATTTTACCATTGCTTTCTATATGCGACAAATATGTCATATACCCCCTGTCAGTTTTGTATATACCTGTACATTTCTATATTTGGACATACCTATATATTTCCATATATTACAGACTGTACCTTTCTGGTTTCTGTACATGCTCTACACTTCTGCACTTTACTGTAAAATATTATGGTACTTTCTGTAAATAATGCTATTCTGGTACTTCTAGTTAGATGTTAACTGCATTTCATCGCCATTGTACTTGTACTCTATATGACAATAAAGTTCAATCTGAATCAGAAAAACTGTTTTACTGCTCTTCTTGAATTTTCTCAGAGCACAAAATCATTGCGCGCACACATTTGTATTAATATCTTTGTGGGGACCATCCATTCATTTCTATGGGAAAAACCCTAATCCCAACAATGAAAACCTTAACCATAAGTAACCAAACAAAATACAAGACTTTTGACATGTTTAGTTCTTTGATTGCAGTCACTTGTTTCTCCTTGTGGAGACCGAGAAAATGGTCCCCACAAGGTCAAAATAACAGGATTCCTATGGAATTATATACCTCCCCCCACACACACACACACACACACACACTTGATATTATTAAATTAAACTATATGTAAGGGCTACGCAGGAGGGTGTAATATTTTATACCAACCGATTAGTCCCTTAATTGACTGGAATACGCCTAACTGCCGCTAGACCGCGACATTCTACCCAAACAATCGCGGCGTGCGCGCTCTCGACCAGCCCGGCCCCGCGTCCCTAGCCAATGGCATCGAGCGCCGTTATCGTGTAGCCGAGAGCGCGCCCTGGCCACAGCCGCCATGATGCGCGCTCACCGTCCGTGAGACAAAGGGAAGCGGGCGCCGCTCGTCCACTCGCCTCTGCGGATTCTGGAATGCGTTTGCAGGTGAGTAGACGCCTTGGACCGAACGGGATGCGGGCGCGGACACGCCAGGAAAGGGGGCGCGCACGTTTACGGGTTCCTGCCTTTGTGTTGTTTTCCGTATGTGAAGGGGACGGAGTTAGTGGCTTGGTCTAGCTGTTTAACAGCGCCAGTTAGCTGTTCCGCGGAAATTGCATTGTCCTTACGAGGGATACCTGGTTCCTGACGAGGTTTGTAGCTGACTCTGGGAGGAAAAGAAAGCCCCGAAAAAGAAGGAGTCTTGCCGACGACTGACGAAATGCCTAACGGAGTCCTTCGCGTGGCCGACCCTCGCGCATCGGTCTGATAACCGTTGAGATGGACTGCTGCCGATCCAGGAAAAACAAACAAGTCTGTCTGTCCGGGAACTCGGCTTCTTCGCCAACTCAGTGGTAAACTACTCCTCGGCACCATCTCCGTAGACATAGAGCCATGGCCGGAGTGAATGGTACAACGCTTTAGCTGGGTAACGATGCGTCGTTGTCGCTGTTGACCGGGGTGGGGGACGCTTCGTCCTGGCGGGTTGAGCCCCCTCGGCGGCTCACTTTACGTTGTGCAGACCCAAGGAGCGCTTTTCTTACTTGGGAGACTTGTCTTCCACTAGGTGCTTTAGTTTTGGGATAAACGAAACAATTGGGCGCCGGAGTGTGTACGTACGTGCTGTTGACAGACACCTAACCGCGTTTGTTTGTTTGTTTGTTTTGATGCGCGCCCCCGTGTCCCCGTCGCCTCTCTTTAGAGGCCTGGCTCTCGCTGAGGATGTTTCGCCGTCCCGTTATCGTGCCCGAGGAAAAGGGGGCATGGGGGGCCGCGGTGACTGACAGGCGGGTGCTCCAATGATACAGAACCCCTCTGCTGCACGCACTTGTTTCCCGGGTAGGTCTGTGTTAGGCGCGGATGCCGTAGCCCCGATTGCACCGTTACCTCGCTATATGGACGGGTTGTGTATATCGGATGAATCGGTAAGGTGAGTGCCGTAATGAACACGGGTTACGGGTTTGCCTTCGTTGGCTGAATGTTTGGCCCAGCACGACCCGACCTGCTGAGTGTTTACATAACGAGCTTACTCTGCGTACCATCCAAATCGAGACCGAGGTTGTCACTCAGAAGAGACCCGACCTCAGATTTACCCCACGATCGGGGTTTCATTTCCAGGCGCCTGTTATATAGAGATGCTGCAAAAACTGAATGTTTTTGTCTCTTTGGTTCATAGTAAGGGAAGGGGTGCTGATTACCCGGGATGTTTTTTTACATAGGAGATGCAGAATGTTTGTCGTAACTGCCATATACATTTATGTCTTGTGGTTACAGTAATCAAAATGCTCTTGTATACTCAGTGTATGGCTTTAAATGATGATGGTTACTGGGGCTGTGGCGCCAACTAAATAAAATAATGAATTATAATAACCAGAATTTTACAGTCCTTTCATGGGCTAAATGCTTTTCCTCTGGTGAACCTGTCCCTCATTTTGTTCTTTCTAAGGCTTAGAGTACCCACATCACAGGGCAGAGGCTGGTTGTGTGGTCTAGGGACTGGCCTCTGTCCGGAGAGCACATATGTCCCAGGTGGATTGGAGGTCCCAGCTGGGTAGTGGAGAGCCCTGTCAGAAAACCCGGGGGGGGGGGGGGGGGGTTGCGAAAGGCCTGTGTATTCCTGCCAAGAAGCGGCAGTGGGTAAAGGCCGTGATGACCTCTTCTACCCATGAACACCTGGTGCTGCTTAAACTGCTGCTCTCTGTGACTCTGGTGCTACTGTCAACATTGTCCCTTATCGATTTTTTATTCTTTTTTTTTTTAATAGTAACATGGTAAATCATTTCAATGAAATGCATATATGCTTTTTATTTAGCTCGAGTCTCCCTTCCAGAAGCTGCTGATCACTTGGCTAGAAGTGCATTTATATTAGTCTTATTAATGTCCACACTTTTGAACTCTGAAATTGAAAGCTCAGAGACCCTCATTTTGCCTACTCTACATTTATGGGCCAGCCTTGCATGGGCCATCTGTCCTGTCTGTGCCTGGTATTTCCTACAGGGTTCATTTATGCCTCTGTTTATTCTTCTGAATTTGTTTTTTTTTTTTTCTTTTCATGCCTTTTTTTTTTTTGCACGGATTTACGAAGTGCTCACTGAGAAGTGCCAGTTAAATATTAACGAGGTAGTTAATTAAGCTTTTACTTGGCAGTGCATGTAAAGGTCTTGTGGCATGTACCATAAATGGAAGTAGTAATCTGTAATTTATTTACCTCAGAAAAAAAGCTTCATGCAGTGGGAGTTTATGGTGAATAGAATATAACTGTAAATGTTTTATTGTTCCTTAATCCAGTGCACATAATCCTAATTGTCAAAAAAAGTTTTCAGATTTGATTCCACTGCTCCATTAGGAAGTGCTGCTATTGCAGCTGGAAATGTCTCGTAATCTGCTTTAATTTTATAGAATGGCGCGGATGCATGCAGTCGATAGCAGAGCCGAATGCTGAAATCTGAAGCGGCTGTGGTAACGTGGAGAACAGTTTTTCAGTCAGGGCTTTCAAAGTTGTAATGACCTGGAGCTCATTATAATGGAAAAACGTCCTCTAATTGGGACACGCATTTAGGTAACTTCTTTGAGGTATTTTTCTCAGCTAAAATGGACATGGACTGTTCCTGGAGGCCCGCTTTAAAACTGCATCTTTGTTGCAATATATACTTTAAAAGAGACTCCCTCCTGACCTTCCCGTTTTGGAGTTTCCCCATGAATGCTTGGCGATAAACAATGCACAACAGTTAAAAAAATTATGGTAAAACTTTTACTGGGAATTGAATCAATCTTGCATCTGGCAGTTTGATCCATGTTGTATGTAAAAGACAATTAAATTCTCATTTTATTACTAGTGACAATACGTGATGTCCTGGGCTAATTCCTACCATAAATATCAGGAAGAACAAGTTGAAGAATAATGAATTTTAGTCTTCACCCTATAGAAACATTATAATTGCATTCTTCAGTGTAGGTATTATATTTGTTAATGATATCTATGCTATGGGACTCTTAAAAACACAGGTAATGGTGGGCGAGAGTGCTTGTACAGTTCCTTCTTCATGTTGGGAAGGACCTTAAGTGATTAGGTCACACATGTCCAAGCAATTAATAAACTTAGCTTCTGCCCAGCTTTAATTTTATCTATTTCCTCTAAATGTTCGTGTTGATAGCTAATCAGGATGCATCCTTCTATTTTGAACAATGGGTGGTGATGAACACCCATGCAATAAGGAATCTTAAGAGCGCTCAAAAATCTTTAGAGGGTGTTTCATGGATTGGTGCCAGGGCAGGCACAGCCTCTACTGTTTTGTGTGTAGTGGGACAGTGGAAAGTGTGTTTGACAGGGTGGTTAGTTGTACTCTTCATTGGTTATTTTTGCATGTTTTTTTGGCGTGATGCACATTTGCACAGTAACTCATCTCCTGGAAATGGGTGCACATGGTCTTACCTGTGTTTGTGTACATTTTGCAGCTTGTAGAACTAAAATCTGCCTGTCAGCACAGAAGGCATAAATATATAGGTTTCACTCGAGTATAAATGGCATCCTGGCTGTTCTCATGCTTAGCTAGTGAAGACTCTGAAAGTATGTTGCAGTTTGGGCATTACTGTTACATCCTTGGCAGTCTAATCTCTTTCCAAATGTCTCCATCCTTCCCACCTAGCTATATGTGCTCACGGTGTCCTGCTGCAAGTCCTCAGGCTACATGCTGTCCACATCTTACTACAGTTGTATTAATTTTGGAGAGTGAGCCGCCTCATCTGGTGGTTCCAGTGCTGATCTGGTGCTGACTATAACAACTCCTAAACTCTAGGGAACTCCAGCTCCCAAGGGCTGGAGCCGACTGCTCTATAGACAAACCCCCAGCGTGTGCTGTACCTGAGATGTTTGCTTCTTCCTTGCTATTCTGTTCCATGAGGAAGCTGGTTGGACAGAATTACTGTTTGGGTTGGTTGTTTACATGATCATTATTTAAATGTGGGTTTTCTTTTCTGCCTTTGACTGTATGCAGCTACTCCTACTGCCTGAAAGACAGACTTGGTGGCACTTAGTCGTCTTCCTCCCACCGTCTTTACATAACTGGCTAATGTTACTCTTCACGTTTTGCTAATTCCCCTATTTTTGGATTTTTACCTAATAACACAGCATGCGCTTAAATTTGCTCCAAGGTAATGGAGGGAACAGTCTGTGTACAATTCATCAAAGGTCAAGCAGACAGACTGGAAAATTACTGGAGCTTGTGGAGGAGAGAGAGCGGATTGAGGGAAATGCAAATATGGCATGCTTTATAAAAAAAATGTTTGTTTTTTAGCCAGATGATGTTCCTCCATGTGATCACAGGTGAAGGCTGCTTCATGCCCTGGTGAAGTGTGGTGGCAGCGGTGTGCATGCGTGTTTGTGTAATGTTGGCGAAGTGAAATCTGAGTGATGACATTTCCCACTGATGCTCCTGTCCAAACCGATTGCATAGCTTACTGTTAAAGTTGTGGGTATTTTTGCCAGAGCTGGTCTGTTTTCAGATGTTCTTGGGAAATAAAGCTATAGGACTTCACTGGGACTAAAAAACGATGACCAGTTTGGCCTTCAAATGTCTGACTATCACTGTTAGCAACTGGCTCACAACAGCAACCCTCCAGTTATAAATGTAAAGGTCTGGAAAAGTTAGCAGGAAAATGTTTGATAATTTTTTTTAGGAAAGGTATAATATAGCTCTTGTGTAGGGCTAGCTTCTTGTAGACCCTGGTAAAATTTTATCATTGCAGTATTCATATATCATTAACAGAATTGAAAAACTACGTACAGAGAAATTACATGTGAAAGTAAGTGTGTGTGTATGCGCGGGCAAGCGAGCGTATGTACATGTGCTGTTGAATTTGGGAAGGGTTTGTTATGAAAAATATATGTATTTTTTTCTCTTGAGCGTGTTGGCCCTTTTGGTCTGAACACTTGTAACATAAGCATTACATCAACATTTTGCTCTTGGATTCTCTCTGCTTTAGAATCAATTTACTATACATTATATCTGAATAGCAGCACACATTTTAAGAGGTTAATGCAGCACACGTTCTCAGCAAGGAAACTTCAATACGGCTTCAAGGACAGAAGAGTGGATGGTCTGTTAAAAAAAAATATATCCAAACCAGGTTTTTTTCCCCCCTCAGGATGGGGTTTAATGTCTTCCTAATGAGTGCTTTAAAATCAGAATGACAGCGCACTAAGGACTTGCAGAGACTGCCAATTGGGACTCTGTACACCTCCTTGGGCTCTGTAGAGAACCAGCATCTGCATGTTCCTTTAGATGGCTCTGTTTAATTGCTTTACTGTTGACCCTCTGCTGGAACCTATCCAACCTTGTCTCATGCTCATCTGTTT